GTTTTTTCGTCTTCATTCTCCTCAGACTCTGACTCCAACCTGTGAGGCTGGATGGACAAGTCTTCTGTTGTTGACATCTTTTAATTTATTTGTAAATAAAATGTTTCGGCGCTGCTAGATAGACGTTACCGCCTCAGTTTAATTGGAATGAATCGGTCTGGGAGCTGGAGGGAGGTGAGTTGCGAAGCGCCTCGTTTGGATTTAAAGAGACAGCCTCAAAACGAGTTGATCTGAGACACACCTCAGAAAAGGGGAGAAAGAGGGGCTTGTGGAGTTACAGTATGGAGAAATTCAGACCAAAGCTTTGCAGTTCCACTTTATATAGACCCTAACTGAATGATTTAAATGTTAAAAAGACTGATTTAAAAACATGATATGTCTCCTTTATGAGTTCATATTACTCTGTGAGCGATGCATCTGTTGTCATGAGAACATTCGTAATCTGAGAAACACATCTTTATTTATAGTTTTCGTCTTACTTACAGTGATAGCATGCATGGAGTAGCCGAGCCCTAGCTGTCTGCAAACCACCATGGCCTCCTTTGTGGTCCAGCCTGTGCTGCACACTGTGCCCCACTTGGACCCAACCTGAACCTCGACCCGGCCCTCATAACTGCTTCGGCCGCCCACTATCCGGATCTGCAGAAATGTCCTGCTGGGAGTCAGTCAGGGGACACACTTCCTGTCCTGTCTCTGAACTGTCTAAACTGAGCCTCCTCGGTGTTTATAAGCCRTCCTCAGGCAGAGGAAAACGTGTTGCTGAAGGAGAAGCTTGGTTAGTTTCTACATGGTTTCCAGATGAGGTCATGGTGGTGAGTAGCTTAGTTTGATTAGAAACTGCTGTGTGCTTGTTTTGCTTTGTTTACATGAAACAGACCATATATAAATCTTTCATGTAGAGAATAAATATTTCATATGGACATTATAATATTCTGTCATACATTAAGATATGCATGTTCAAACACATATAATATAATACATTACTTAAATGTAGCTTTACGTAATGCATTATAATAATTTGAGATAATTAAATCCTGTAAAGCATCTAAATATTAACAAATGTGTWTGACTGTGTTTTCCATATATTTGAACATATCAAACTTAAAATCCATACAATCAGTGGCCATCTTATACATTCTCCTGAGTGTGTCCGAGCCAGATACCATTACTGTACGTGACACTGAACATGCTCCTGTAGCTGCTGCCAGAGAGCCTGGATCCAAGCTCATTTTTTAAAAGAAAGCTTATTTTTGGAGCTGAATCAGAGGCCAACCAAAATTGCTCACAGTAAAAAGAAAATTAACAAAATAATCATGTTTTTTTAAGTAGTGTTCTGTGAACAGTTTATGAACAATCAACATCTTACATGTTGCAGATAGTTTTTTTTTAACAACTTCAGTTTGAAGAAATAGAGATCAGTCTAACAGGACTCAGTATTTCCCCCTTAGCATTACTCATGGAGGGCAGACCTAGCACCATAAACATASCATTAGCACCCCCACACCCCAGTGTACAACAAGCACCCAGCCAAGGCCAGTAATGTCATGTAGGAGTAACACTGGAACTGACAAGCTAATGGCTAGTCCAAATGCAGCCAAAACCAATCTGAGTTTATGTCATCTTAAACAACTCTAATCTTAACTATTTCATAGCAGTTATCTAAACAATATTGTCAGTTTCTTAATTCAGTTATTTACATAATATTACAGGATTAGTTGCAGTAGAAGGTAACAC